TCACAGAGATCCGCCTGCCTCTGCCTCCCCAGTGCTGGGATTAAAGGCGTGTGCCACCAACGCCCGGCTTTGTTTTTACTTTTTAATTAAGAAAATACTCAAGCATAAAAGTGGGTTGGGCATGGTGGTGCACACTTTTATCTCAGCATTTGGGAAGCAGAAGTAGGCAGATCTCCATGAATTTTGGGCCAGCTTGGTCTCTATATCAAGTTCCACGCTCGAGAGACCCAATCTCAAAAAAGAAAGCATACCAAAAGAGTGGCAGCACAGCATTTGGAACATCTAGACATATTATCAGCTCCAACCACAATGAACTCCAAAACAATTCATCACTGAAACTGGAAACATCATGAATAAGTTTTAAACCAAGTTTTTTACGTGTTAAGAGCAGTGCCCAGAGGCCAAGGCAGGAGACTGCCCTAGTTAAGAGGTCAGCCTGGCCGGGCATTGATGGCGCACACCTTTAATCCCAGCACTGACAGAGGCAGGCGGATCTCTGTAAGTTCCAGACCAGCCTGGACTACCAAGCGAGTTCCAGGACAGCCTCCAAAACCACAGAGAAACCCTGTCTCGAAAAACCAAAAAAAGAAAAAAAAAAAAAGAGGTCAGCCTGTATTATATAGTGAGTTGCACAGCAGTTTTGGCTATATGGTTAAGTCCTTAACTAAAAAACAAAAAAAAAACAGATAGGCTGGCAAGGTGGCCATGGGTAATGGTGCTTGCTACCAAATCTGATATCCAGGAACTCACATGGTAGAAGGAGAGAACCAATTCTTACAAGTTGACATCTGACCTCCTCATATGCTAATAAGTAAATAATTTTTTGAAGTTTTTTTAAAAATGATTTCCTTATTTTTATTTTATGTGCATTGGTGTCTGACCTGCATGTATGTCTGTGTGAGCATGATGAATTACAGACAGTTGTGAGCTGCTATGTGTGTGCTGGGAATTGAACCCAGGTCCCAGTGCCATCTTTCCAGCCCCAATTTTTTTTTAAGTTTTTAAAGGAATAAGAAACTAAGTATTGGGGCTGGAAAGATGGCTCAGCGGTTAAGAGCACTGGCTGGTCTTCCAAAGGTCCTGAGTTCAATTCCCAGCAACCACATGGTGGCTCACAATCATTTGTAATGAGATCTGGTGCAGGTATACTTGCAGGCAGAACACTGTATACACAAATAAATAAATAAAAAAAAAAAAAAGAAAGAAACTAAGCATTGGAGATGCTGCTCAGTGGAAAAATGCTATGCTTGTTTTAGGCCCTGAATTTGATCCTTGGCACAATGAAACAAGCAAGTAAGTTTGTCTTTCACTCTGATCATAGCTCAAGGAGAGAATGCTATCTAGCATGTGACCTGGTTCAATTCTCAGCAACCCCCCAGAACAAAGGAAAGATACTATTGTACTATTTTATACAATATTCATGGGATGTGTTTACACAAGAGAATAATTACAAAGCAAAAACTCTTGCTACCTACAAAACAATGGAAGAGTCGCAGATTTTACCCCATTATTATAATATTTTTTTTAATTTATTGCAATATTCTGCCTGCATGCATGTCAGCCAGAAGAGGGTGCCAGATCTCATTACAGATGGTTGTGAGCCACCATGTGGTTACTGGGAATTGAACTCAGGACCTCTGGAAAAGCAGTCAGTGCTCTTAACCTCTGAGCCATCTCTCCAGTCCCAGCCATTCCTATAATCTTACCAAGCTTTTAAAATAAATTTATTATCTCAAATTAGATCAGGCTTTTGATCTCATTAGTAAAAGGCAATATTTATCAACACAATGATTAATAAATCTGTATATTCTGTTCTGGTATTTTTTGGTTTTTGTCTGTTTAGCAGTGATGGAAGTGAAACCCCAGCTTTCTGCCCACAAGGTAAGCACTCTAACACTGAACTGTATCCCCAGCCTACAAGATAATTCACTTTTTGAGGAACTAGAAGGTTATTCCATATCCCTGAAGTAGCTAGCACCTCTATGCCTCCCATCTAATAAATGCAACAGTCCCTCCTCAGACAGGACAACAAAAACTACTCTAGATATTAATAACTGCTCCTGAGGGACATAGTATCACTGGCTGAAGAACTACTGCACTAAGGTACTTCAAGATAAAATCTGTAATTCAGTTCCTCAGGACCACCATATTTCAACTCTTTAGCTCCCCATGCCTAGTGGCTACCTAACAAAATAGTACAGATACTGAACATTTCCACCATCATAGAAAGTGCTATTTGGACAGCACTAAACAAGCTCACATCCTTAACTGGCAACTACAAATACTGGAAGAAAACAAACAAACAAACAAACCTGTATATCTCATCAAAACACAGGAGTTTTCTAAAAACATATTTTTCTACCCAGAACTAGTTATCTCATATAATTTTCAGGCAATATTTTTATGTTCTAATTTCTAAATAGTCTACACGTTTCCTATAAGAAAACCACAATTTAATTTATAAAGTAGAAAATTACTTAAACTTCTTGGTGTCTTAGTAAAAATTAAGGATATACATAGTATTCTTAAATATTTGCAACTATAGCATTTAAATTCTAGCAAGAAACCCCAGGTTAATAACTAAAACATTTGCAATAATAAAGTATAAATAAAAAGGAATTTACTTGAACACGATAAAAAATTTTCCCAGAAAGGCAACCCAGACCAGAATTCTGGAAGTATATAGCTTAGTGGTCATGGTCTTCACCTCCTTCAGCCTCCCCCTTTTGCCTTTTCCTTTCCTGTTCTCCAGTATATACCCACCTTTAATGTGAAAATGCCACACTCTAAAATTAACTTTCAAACAGTTTACCACTAACAGCTAGTCAAGGGTACCACACTAAACATTTTATGTACATTCTCACTTAATACTAAAATCTTTATGAGGTGGGTATTGTTTTCCCTATTTTATAAATGAGTAAACTGAGACTTAACCAAGTAACTTGACCAAGGCCTCCACAGCTGGTGATAGAACTGGAATGTGAACCAACAGACTTAACCAAAGTTAAGAACCCTGAGAGTACCACACAGTGAAATGGAAGACTTGATCACAGACACTTGACTATGACAAATCATAGAATTGTGAATCTCAGTAGAGGTCTCTGATAATGGCTAAGCACTTGCTACATACTGATTTTAACTTATTAGCACACTCTAGCTGAAAGTACAGAGACAACATAATGTCTAAGGTAATAACACAATTTTACTTAAGGGTATTAATCATTCAATACAACAAAATTTTATGAAATTTGAATTTTGTGATTTGAAGTATAAACAAGATATTTCAAGGATTACAAGAGCACACAATTCTGAGGCAACAAAAACAAGGACATCAGAATTTATGGCTAAGGTGATACTTACAAATTATATCTTAAATTCTTCTAATGCATCAACACACTCACTTTTTATCTAACAAACCCATGAAAGGTCATCATTTATAAGCTCAACAAGGTCCCAAATGTTCATGACTTTCCAATTGTCATTTAAAAGGAAGTAACTACTATACTAATAGATAGCAATAGTCAAAGAGAAACTGAGACAAATCCTGTTTCAGAAGATGATAAAACAGACTCCCACTAAGATCTGTAAGTCTTGGTGTCAGAACTAAATTTTTTTTGGGGTGGGGGGAGGTTCGAGACAGGGTTTCTCTGTGACTTTGGAGGCTGTCCTGGAACTAGCTCTTGTAGACCAGGCTGGTCTCGAATGCACAGAGATATGCCTGCCTCTGCCTCCCAAGAGTGCTAGGATTAAAGGTGTGTGCGCCACCACTGCAAGGCTCATAACTAAATTTCAACTAACAAATTTGTAAGAAAAAGTGCAGGCAACAATGCAACTTGTAAAAACAACCGTTTTCAAGTCAGAGTTCAGGTTTGCATCCCAACTCTGTACCTTACTAGTTATGCAAATCAGGCAACTTAACTACTCTGTTTATTCTAATTATTTGTCAATGAAATGGAACTATTGCTATCTATTTTAAAGAGTTACTAAAGTTATACCACAGTGGCTACCATAAAGTCATTGAATACATGTGAATTCTCTTTCACACCTAACCCTGAAAAGGCCATTGCAAGATGAGAGATCCTTAGAATTGGAAGGACTGTCGGATTTTACCCACTGCAAGCTTCAGCTTTTACACTGAGTGTCAAAGGCAGTGTGATCTGCCCAAGACTGACCAACAGCATCAGTGGCTATCCAGCTCTCTCTCTCCCACAAAAATCAAATAAACTAGAGAACAAACACGAATCTGATGAACACACATTGTATCTTGCCAATTTAAAAAAATTAAACAGCTCATATTTTAAAAAATACTAAATTCTTACTTTAATAATTCCAATAATAGCTAAGTAATTCACCTAAAGTACTCCCAAATTTCCCATGTAATATTCTATGAAAGTATAAGTGGTCTTGAAATTGAAATATGAGTAACTCTTACAAACTATTTTGCTGAATACAATTTTATTCAGACAGCCCTCAAAAGTAAAGTATGGTTCAAACCACCTTTCTAGTTCCCCAAATAGTACCCTGACACTGGTCTGTATTATTTTATTTGGTTTTCTAAATATATTCTAAACTTCCAAAAGAAAGTAAAAATTATTTTACTAGTAAACAGATTCCAGTGCAGTGTGCTAGAGAGGACAGGGAATGGAGATGTTTCCCTACTAAAGCTATAACTTCACTAAGTACCATATGGTCTAAGTATGAAATCACAATTAGACTGTTCTGAAAATACTACAGAGTAAGAGAATGCTGGTTTACCTTTCAAGTCTGTGTTTTGAACTCAAAATGTTCTAAAGGTATCAGCACAGAGATATCTTCCAGCCTCTGACTTTATTCTTTTACAAAGTCCTTATATATGTGAGACTCATTCAAATTTTTCAGAAATTTCACCACAGCTCAAAAACGGCTTTCCTGTTGATCTGTACGACTTTTATGACCACCTAAAAACTATGACAAATGAGAAGGGTCAGTGACAGTCTTACTTTCGTCCAATGTGTCAGTCACCTCATTTAAGACAGCAGGACTAGTCGCTACCATGTGCACCCCCAAACCTGTAAGCAGCCTCTGCTTGGCTCACCAGATCAAACATCATGTGATCGCCTCCTTAGTTCAACAGTACTAGTAAGAGGGTACTGAAAGTCTTGGGGAAGAATCAACCAGCCTACCTGATTAAAAGGAAGTAAATCCCAACAGGTCCACCATCCGCAGGTCCACCCCAAGCCTCTTCCCTGCACACGCACCTCCCACAAACCCCCGCTGTGGTTCGGTGTCCCACCACGGACACAGTTCCCGGCCACAACTCCCATTCCTCGGGGGCATCATCCCAGCCCTAACCCTAACTTCCAGCCCCACACTCCTCAGCACCGAAGCCGCTCGGGTTCGTCTGGCTACTCTCCGTTGCCCCACTTCCTCGTCCAAGCTTCCCTCCAGAGTCCGGAGCTCGCCCCAGCCTCTCCTCGTACTCCTCCACGCCCCCGAAAACCTTCCCCCTCCACAGCAGGCTCCCCCGCCGCCAGCCCCGAGGCCCGGCCCAGGCATGTGGGGCAGGCATCTCTTCTGCCGCCCCTCACGCCAGCCTCGGCCGGGCCGAGAGATCCCCACATTGACCAGCCCCTCCGGGAGAGGGGTCTGAGGAGAACGACGTCCGAGCCGCTCGTCCCTCCACTGCTCGCCGCCCCCGGAGAGCTGGAGTGCCGAGTCGCCTCTCGGGTCCCTCAGGGAGTAGGAGTCCAGGCCGGTCCCCCTCGCCGCCAGATCTTCCCCCTCGCTGGAGCTGAGGGGAAGGAGGTTCCCTGGGACTCACCTAGAGCCTGTTGTCAACATTAGCCCCGGGTTTCCCAGCACCAACTCCAGCGCTCGGGCTCTCCCCTCCCCTCCCCCCACCTATCTCGCAGCCGAGGGCCCGCCTTCCCTCAGCTCCCCCTCCTCCCTCCGCCCGTCGGCCCTCCCGCCCGCCACTCACCAACGCGGTCCGGCTGCCAGGGGGGCGGGGCGGAGGGTGGGGAAAAGGAACAGGCTGCCCGCACTATTGCCCAACCAAAACTGACCCTCGCCGCCAGTCCTCGCTCCGTGTTGAGACCCTCATTTTGTCTCTGAAGTGATCTACATATGCAAAATCTCAAATGTATGCTACTCGCTTCAGTGACTTGTTCAAATTCCCCTATCTGTGGATTTTTTATGAAGGCAATGAATAGGGCACCTGCTTCCAGCGCATCCAACCAGGGCCTCAGCGGAGGGAGGAGTGTTCCAAGGACCGGGGGCGGGAAGTGGATTGGTCGTCAGGAAAGGGAAAGTGCCTGAATTGGAGATGCGCAGGCGCAAACACTTGGTGCGGGGAGGGGAGGGGGGAGCCGGAATGAGGCGGGGCGGAACTGAAGGAGGCGAAGGAGAGTGGTGGGATAGTAGAATTACGGAGCGCTATCGAGGACAAGTTTGGTCACTTGACTCGCGGAGGAGTTTCCTGATGCTAACTTAAGGGAGAGGTTCAAGGAGGCAAAGTTTGATTGTACTAATACCGAAGAATTGAAGATCTAAGAAACTGAAAACTGGAGAAACAAAAGAATATGGTTGGTGAGGAAGGTAGAGGTTGCTTAGGAATAATACTAGACTGAAAGTCTCGTGGGGGACTTTCCAGAATCAGTTTCGGTTGTTGGACCTGAAAAACAACTAGAATGGAGAGCAATCAAAGCTTATCACATATGGTTCTTCTAGAAAGTCCTCTATTGTAAGCATTTTAATTTTTACAATGAAATGAAATCACCCTTTTTTAAAAGGATGGGATTACGAACTTGAACCAAGTAGACTTTGAAATGCGCTGTCAGCTGCTCGACCTGCTGTTTTTCTAAGTGGATGTAATTGTGCGTCTGACCTCCGAGTTTTGTTGAAATTGTGAATCTGCCAGGATGTGCATATGGTTCCGCTCTGGCTGGCCCGTAACCAAAGGAACAAAGGTGCTGAACAAACCTGTACTCTTGCTTTACAAGAGGAGCCCACACGATGATCCACCATCCCAACTACTTGAGATGTCTAGACTCCTTTTTATTCAGCCTTTGCCCGTTAGATTGGTCCTTTCTTTTTTCTTTACCCCCTTTTGTTATTGTTAAGTAAATCCTCGTTCAAGTTATGCACTTCCTGTGTTAATTTTGTTCTTGTTTCGAACAACCACTAAGTCAATCACACGAAGAGTACCAAAGTAGAGAAAGATAAATACTGCCATTCTGTACCGTTGATAAGTAAGAGTTTTTTTTTCCTGTGACACCACACAAATGAGGACAACTTACATTTCCCCACTTTCCTTTTCTTATTTTTGTCTCACTGTTTTATCCTGCTCCAGATCTGGGTCACATCTGTAATACCGCCACAACAGGAGGATTGACACAAGTTAGGGGCCAACCCTGCACACGTAGCAAAATCCTATCTCAAAACGAAGAATTTATTTCTTGGGCCTGAGGGATATAGCTTAGAGCATTGCCTTAAGTTGCCTGAAGCTCTGGATTCCAACTCAGGATCCCACTTTAAAGCAGAAGAAAAGGAAGCTGGGGACATTGCTCATCAGTTACAATCACTTGTTGCTCTTGCAGAGGTCTGGGTTCAGTTCTTAGCACTCACAAGGTGGCTCCATCTCCAGCTGACCCCCTCTTCTGGCCCCATCCAGGCACACATAAAGTAAACATTTTAAAGACTTTTAAGAAAAGGAAGGAAAAAGAAAAGATTTAACCCTGTGTTAATGAACAAGTTCTCATCCTAAACAAGTCAACCCATGTCTTGTTAATAGGTGCTATTATGAAACCTTGTAAACACGGGGATGAAAAGAGAAGAGCTAAGATACAGCTCAGTGGTAGAGTATTTGTTTAGCATGCAGACAGTCCTGGGTTTGCTCCCCAGCATTAAATCACAGTATTTTAATACACTAAAGCCTGACTTACCCACCTAGATATAATTAAGAGGACAGTTGAAACCCGGGAAGGGATTCTGCCTAAGAGATGAAAATTTAACATGGATGCTGCTACATATACAGCACGGTTTCATCCATTTCAAGCCTGTGTTAAGTTCAACAGAAATTGGAAATATTTCACCTACCTAACCTGTTAAACATTCTAACTCAGCAGCACAATATGCTTAGAATATTAGTTGTTAACTCTCATGAGCACTGAGACATTAGCAATTGGGAATTGCAGCTGCCTAGCGTCCAGGCTAAAGTTTGCTATCTTCAGGAGGAAAAAAATTCAAAATGTGAGTTTGTAAGTTTACTTTTGTACCACCATAAAGTCAAAAATCCTTAATTGAACCATAGTTACATTGAGGACCATCTTCAATCATAAAAATGGGTAAGATTGCCAAAGAAAATAACAAGAAGTAGAAAGCTCAGGACTAATCCCAGAGAAACTTCTAAATATATAAAAGATAGGTCTGTAAATGGTAGATGAAGGAGAAAAAGGGAAACCAGTAAGTGCTGGTGTCATGAAAGGCAGAGGAAGAGATGTTTAGGGAAGGAAAGCAAGTAACTGTCGGTGCCACTGAAAAAAATGAATATGATGATGAGAAAAGGGTTCATTTCAAGAACCATATTGGCCTGGCATACGGCAGGTTAATAAAATATTAAGATCATTGAAGATTAATTTGCAGAGAATATGTTATAATGAAAATGATACAAACAGGAGAGATATCTGATGATATAGAAGAGAGCAAAAAGGCTGGGCGTTGGTGGCGCATTCCTTTAATCCCAGCTCTCGGGAGGCAGAGGCAGGCGGATCTCTGTGAGTTCAAGGCTGGGCTGGACTGACAGCCTCCAAAACAATACAGAGAAACCCTGTCTCGTAAAACCAAAAAACAAAAACAAAAAACAAAAGAACAAACAAACAAAAAAACTAGGAATCCGTGCCAAGAAAACGAACTTCCAGAAGATTGAAATGAAAGGGCAGGGTGGGGAGGAAAAGTTTTCTCAGCTATCATAGCTAGTAATGGCAGAGGTTTGTGAGTGTAATCTGTCCTAATTTCTAGTATCATTTCATTTTGTGCCACAGAATAACCAGTCAGTGTATCCTCTGGGGAAGCAGATGGTAAGGTGAGAGAGTCAATTCTCTGCCATCTAATGGTTCTTCACTATTGAACTTTCTAGCTCTATTTCTAGGTCCCTAATGTGGGCTATCAGTGATTAAATAGTCCACACATAATTCAGAACTTACATTCCCAAAGCAACTGAATACTGGTCTGTTTCACACTTACCTTTGTGTGTGTGTGTGTGTGTGTGTGTGTGTGTGTGTGTGTGCGTGCGCGCGCCCTCGTGGGACATTTTGTTTATCACAAAGTGATGTGCTAAGGCTTGGGCTAATGTCAACATATGTACAGAACTGAATAAAGTGGATCTCTCAGAAGTTCGCCTTAAAAGGGGAGATAGGAAGATAAACAAGGATGTTACATACAAGGAAGTGTTCAGTGCTGGTTCTGGAAGGGAGTGGAGATGGGCCTTGGGATGCGGGGAGATAAGGAAGCCCTTGGTGTGGTCATGTCCAGGCAGATGTCTGCCAGGCTTATGGGTGCTGTTCCAAGACGGTCGGCTGCAGAGAGCCACTCTAGCCTCAGAAAGAGAGCAAGCTGGGCTCAGAGCACAGTACCTGCTGCCTCTGACCAGGGTCTAAAGAAGTGAACCTTAACAAGTCCTGGCTACACGTCTGTCTTAGGGTATCCTGGTGTAGCTGTACAGAACTCACTCTTTAATGAACGTGCACTGGGCCCGGAGAAATGACTCAGGGGTTAAGAACACTCATTGGCTGCTCCTTCAGAGGACCTAGGTTTCATTCCCAGCATCCTCTTGGTAGTTCTCTTCCAGAGGATCTAATGTGACCTCACAAGAAAATGCATGCCGGCTAAACACCCATACACATAAAATAAAGATGAGTATGCACAGAGATCACCAGGAGTTTGACCCCTAGTGGCCCATACCTGTCTCGCTCCCAAACTCCAACCCCCACCCCCACCCCCTGTAACATGACTCGGAAACACTGCCTGGCTGTCTGTGGAGGAACTCTTTCCCTCCCCTCAAATGCCTGTGTGTCGTTTCTCTACTGTAGGCCTGACTGTCCTGGAACTTGCTCTATAGACCAAACTAGCCTTGAACTTAGAGATTGTCTTGCCTTAGGCAGTGTCACCATGCCTTGCTTCAGAATATTTAATAGACCCTACTTCTGCCTTTTTCTGTGTTGGTGAGTTCTTTCACAGCCTGCTCGTTACCAGCTTGTCAACACCATCTCTAGCAGGCAGCCTCCTGAGAGTTAAACACTCTCCTTGCAGTCTTGGAAAGAGTATCGCTTCACAAAGTATACTACAAATGAGATTTTTACAACTATCACAATCAGCCGGATGTTGGTGGTGCATGCCTTTAATCCCAGCACTCGGGAGGCAGAGGCAGGCAGATCTCTGTGAGTTCGAGGCCAGCCTGGTCTACAGAGTGAGTGCCAGGATAGGCTCCAGAGCTACACATAAAAACCCTGTGTCAAAAAACAAAAACAAACAAACAAAAAGACCCAAGCAACAACTATTTTAGTCTTAGCTGGGCCTGTTACACACACACCTGTAGTCCTCTGTATGGGCTGCAGAGACTTCATGACTCTTAGAAGAGGCCCAGCCATTGTACTAGCCTATGAAAATCTGAGACAATCTAGGTTTGTCGTTTCAAGGCTCTAAATTGTGGGGTAATTGGTAAGTAAAAACAATGGTGCCAGGCGGTGGTGGCGCACGCCTTTAATCCCAGCACTCAGGAGGCAGAGGCAGGCGGATCTCTGTGAGTTCGAGGCCGGGCTGGACCGACAACCTCCAAAACAATACAGAGAAACCCTGTCTCATAAAACCAAAAAAAAAAACAAAAACAAAAAACAAAAAACAAAAAACAAAAAAAACCCAATGGTAATAATTGTTATTTAATGTATCATATACATATATTTATATCCATGTGTTTTATAGGTATGATGTACTTCTGAAGTAAGTGCATACCATTTTATATAGCCTTGGCATCCTGAGTTTAACTTCTTCATAGTAGAAGCAGCACTCAGTCACCCTTGCCTGAGTCCATTGTAGACTCCACCAGAATGGAGCCAGCTGGTCTCTAGAGATAAAACCTCTGAGACATCTCTTGCGGCTCCCTGGCTGGAGTCCCTGCTTTCCCACCACTTCTGTTTAAAGGGACTGTTCGCCATTTGTCCAAGAAATCCAAGCAGCCATGCCTCAGTTACAGCATGATCTGGAACATGTCTGGCTGCTTTGTTTTTTTTACTTTGGTTTTGTTGCTATTTTGTGACAAAGTCTTGCCATGTAACCCAGCCTGGCCTCAACTTCGCCATTCTTAACTGTGCATTACCAAACCCGGGTGCCTATTTGCTTTAAACCCACCAAACTGAAGCTCCTTCAGGAAAAACAATTGGATAGTGCCCTAGACCCCACTGCTTATTCTCTGAGTATTTTGTAGTTTTCTTTAGGCCCATGGACAAGGACTAACAAATGGGATTGCATCAGATTGAAAAGGATCTGAAGAATGAAGGAAACAGTTACCAGTGGGAAGAGACAGCCAACAGAATGGGAGGAAAATCTATGTCAGCTATTCATCAGACATGGGATAACTAAAAAATCAAACATGAAAACAACAAATTATCCAGCCAACAATTAGCATATAAATAAAACATATAAAAAAAGAAGTATAGATGTCTAATAAATACATTTAAAAGTGCTCAGGATCTTTAGGCATACCTGGGTCAGAATGGCTGATACATTGGTATCAAGGAAATAGATAACAAAAACCAGACAAGGTATCACACTAGCATTTAGGAAGTAGCCTGCTTGAACTATAGAGTAAGACTTTGTTTCAAAACGCTACCAGTGAAAAAGAAAGAAAAAAGAAAATGCTAAACATTGGCAAGGATGGAAAAGACAGGGACCTTTATACACTGTTAGGAGAAATGTAAATTATTGTAACCACTATGGAAATGAGTATATGAGTATGGAGGTTTGTAATGGCTTGAATGAGAATAACCATCATAGGCTCTTGTGTTTGAATATTTGATCCCTAGTTGGTGGGCTATTTTAGAAGGTAGGAAGGTATGGCCTTATTAGAGGATGTGTGCCACTGGGGTGGCATTTGAGAGTTCAAAAGCCCATGCCGCTGCCAGACACAGCAAGACCCAAATTAAATGTTTGCTTTTATGACTTGCCTTGGTTGTGGTGTCTCTCCACAGTGATATAACAGTAATTAAGGGTTCCCTAACAAACAAACCCTAAGAATAAACTACTGCAAGATCCACTTGTAGCATTCCTGGATATAAACCTGAAAGTATAGTTGAGATTATAGCAGAGATACTTGAACTATTGGCACTGTGTTCACTGAGGCAGCATGTCCAATAGCCAAGCTATATAATCAGCCTATGAAGTATTGAGTGAATGAAGTTATTAAAACACACACATAACACACATGAGACAGACAGACAGAGACAGACAGACAGACAGACAGAATTCAGTCATGAAGAATGAAGTCATGTCATTTATGAGGAAAATAGAAACTATCATGTGTCCTAGCCATTGTTCTATTGCTGTGAGGAGACACCATGAACTGAAACTTTTATAAAGGAAAGCATTTGATTGGGTCTTGCTTACAGTTTAAAGGTTTAGTCCATTATCCTTATGGAGCATGGCAGAAATGGTAGCTGAGAGTTCTGCATCTGGGTCAGCAGGCAGTAGGAAGACAGACACTGGGCCTGGCTTGAGCTTTTGAGACCCCTAAAGCCCACCCCCAGTGACAACTTCCTGCAACAAGGCCACATTCACTCCAACAAAGCCACTTTCTCATCCCTGTCAAGTCAGAGCCACTCCTTAGTGACCAAGTATTCAAATCTGTGAGCTTATAGGGCCATTCCTATCAAATCACCACATCAAGTTAAGCAAAGTAGGCCACACTCAGAAGAAAAAAACACTTCCTTTTTTCCCTTATATGTAGATTCTAGAGAGATGGCTCAACAGTTAAGTGCACTGCCTGCCCTTCCAGAGGACCTGGCATTAATTCCCATCACCCACAAGGCAGCTCACAATCGTCTGTTGCTCCAGTTCCCAAGATGCTAATGCCTTCTTGGTTCTCCGAAGTCACTGCTTGCAAATGATGCACAGATGTATACAGGCAAAACACCCACAGACATAAAAGCATTATAAAAACCATGAAAAATGCACCTGCTGGTGGCGGTGCACACCTTTAATCCCAGCACTTGGGAAGCAGAGGCAGAGGTGGATCTTTGTGAGTTCGAGGCCAGCCTGGGCTAGAGAAGAAGTTCCAAGAGAGCCAGAGCTACACTGAGAAAGCCTATCTTGAAAAACCAAAAGAAAGAAACAGAAAGTGAGAAAGTAAGGTAGGGATGGAGGTAGGGAGGGAGGGAGGGAAGGGAGGAGGGAGGGAGGGAAAGCCTAAGGAAGGTTCTAGGAGGGAAGAAAGGTGCCAAAGGGGAGGGGCAGAAGAGTAAGGAAGGATGATCATTGAGAACAAAGTATGAATGAAAATACAGCAATGAAACCCATCAGTTTGTAGGCTAACTTTAAAAAATGGTGAAATTGAGTTTTCTTCTTTCCAAATCCTTTCTTTTTGCATCCCCCCCTCTTTTGTTTTTTGTTTGGTTGGTTTTTGTCCTTTCTATAAGGAAAACTACATTGCTGTACTCTGGAGCTTCCAGCATAGTGTGAATTTTAAGGCGGGAGACTTCGGGATGTACGTATAGTTCTACTTTAGTAACAGAAAGCTGGTCCTGTGTGGCTACCAGCCTTGCACAGTGTCCAGATCCAGAAGGCCTTTGGCCCGGGAAACACCCCAGACCAGCCTGGATATTGGGCGTTGCTACGCCTCAGGTTCCAGTCTCTGATTGGCTCTGACAGGTCGACCCTTGACCAATTAGACCCGGGGGCGTTGTCCTGGGGGCGGGTCCTCAGGCTCACGCGGTGCCTTCAGGGTCTCCCTCTTTGCCAGCGACCCTCGATCTGGCCTTGACTGCAACTCCTGTTCTATTCTTCCACAGCGTCTTCGGGCCCAGGCTGGACATGGCTTCGGCCACTATGACAGCTGCAAGGAGAGCCCTCTGCCTATCTGTCCCTCTTATCCGGCGCGGTTACCAGACGGAGAGGGGCGTCTACGGTTACCGACCTAGGAAGGCCGAGAGCAGGGAGCCCCGAGGCGACCATGCACGCCCCTCAGGTTGGGGATGTGGTCGGACACTGTGGGTGGAGGCAGGAAACTACCTGTGAGGCTTGTGGTGGGGTGCTCTTGAAAGTGGGTACTAGGCGCCTGGGAGCTTCTGGCCTGGGAAAGAGAACAGCCTGGGAAAGCTGAGGAAACCGAAGGAGGAGGGCGTGGGAGTTGTCAGTGTCACCCCGCTGTCTAGCTTCCACAATTGGGCATCCCTGGGCTTTGTTTCCACGTAATCTCCTTATCTTTCTTCTTGTGTCCTAGTTTGGGGACAGCTTTTCTTTTTCATTCCTCACCCGTGAACAAGTGGGAATGTAGCTCTTTGAGGAGATGGATCTGTGAAAGAAGACACGTTCTAAGATCTCCTAGCTCTTAACCGGATGATATATTTCCAGGGACAACTTACATACAGACGACATCTCTGTGCTACTTGCAAGAGGGCAGTTGGTACATGAGCCTAGACAACAGCGGGACTTACTATTTGTCTCTTGAACCTAGCTAGCCTTTCACTTTAATTGCAATTTAAAACTGCTAAACTCGGAACCTTATTGCTGGTGTGTTTTTGACGTATTAGCCAAAACGGATATCAGTGTTTGGAACTATGTTGCGGTCTCGTGTCCAAGAATAATTTCGAGTATTTGGTTTATGCTACAAAGTTGTTATTCTATCTTTATTTGTCCTCATACAGTAGAAAAGTGCATGTTATTAGAGAAACCTGTTGGCATCTTTAAAAATTATATTTACTTGTTTATGATATATCTTTCATGTTTATTTTATGTGTATAAGTGTTTTAGCTGCATATATGTATGTATACCATGTGCATGCCTAGTGTCCACAGAAGGCATTCCCTGGAACTGGATGTACAGATGATTGTGAGCCAGCATGTGGGTGCTGGGAATCTAACCCCAGAATATGCAACTATGATTTTAGCTACTCAGCCATTTATCCAGCCCCCAGTTAGCTTTTTGTTTGTTTGTAACAGGGTCTTATTATGTAACCTTGGCTGGCATGAAATTTGTGTAGACCATCCTGGTCTCAAAATCAGAGCTCTGCCTCCTAAGGGCAGAAATTAAAGGTGTATGCCACCCCCTCCCCCAGTTGTCATCTTTGATCCTAATATTAATGTTGACATTCCCCTCTGTCAGGCTTGGTTCATGCCTTTAGTCTATCCCTGGAGAGGCAAAGGCAGCTGGGGTCTCTGTGAGTCCAATACCATCCTGTTCTACATAGCAAGTGAGACCCTGTTTCCACTAAAACAAAAACAAACAAACAAACCCTCTTTATCTTTTAAGTGTCTGACTAGACCTTTGATTCTTCACACACTGGAACATTAAAATATTTTGCTTTTTTCTTGGGGACCATTGAAAATAAGTTTTATCTCTCATTTTTATGTAGCCCTGGCTGTCCTGGAACTTGCTCTGTAAACTGGACTCAAACTCAGAGATCCACCTGAGTGCTGGTATTAAAAGCATGGGTCACCACACCTGATTATAGTTAAATTTTTTTATGCAAAGCATTTTGATCATCTAGATTGTTAATTCTGGTTTTTGCAAGGCACATCGCAAATTCAGTGTATAGAATTCTTTCTGTGTTATTTGAACCTATAACCCTACCTACTGAGCTACCTCTTGCCTCCCCATAATTAATATCCATTATTCTTAAACTTACATGTCTATTAACAGTGATTTTGATGCTTAAAATGCCAGTTCCTAGTTCTGTATCTTTTCTCTTTACCCAAGTTCTAATTCAGTGAGGTTCAGAAACATGGCCCCCTTTTTCTTTTTGTAGTGTTGGAAATCAAAATGAGGGCCTTGTGCATGCTGTATCACTGAGCTACATACACCTTTAGCCTAAGAATTATGTGAGTGTGTGTGTGTATGTGTGTGTCCATCCACCTTTGGCTAGAGATGTATGTTGTACATGAAAGAACAAAACTTTTAAGGTTATGCTATTGGACACTCAGCATACAGTTACTGTGATTGCCTTTGAGCTTTTCTTTAAAACCCTGCTGACCTAATGAATTAAGCTTGTCATGGAAAAACCTAGGGTAATGGTTACTCTTTGGAAAACTATATGAGAATCACTTTGGGACCTTCAGGCTGGTACAATTAGAAAAATATCTCTGGAGTTGATTTTTTGTATAAGTCCTTCTCTTTTCCCTTATCACCAAATCACTTTCCATGTCCTAGTAACAGAGAACTTGCTTTATTAGGAGATAATAACATCTGGAAGTTCAATGTTGGATTATAACTTCATGGGTATGATCTTATGTGGGTTAGGGCCACTGTGAGGGAAGAGAAAAGTCAGTGATGGAATTTCATTGGGAAAGATAATAATGGTTTTAACTTTATTTTTTATTTTTTGGTTTTACAAGACAGGGTTTCTCTGTATTGTTTTGGAGGCTGTCGGACCAGCCCAGCCTTGAACTCACAGAGACCCCCTGCCTCTGCCTCCCGAGTGCTAGGATTAAAGGCGTGCGCCACCAATGCCGGCTATTTTATTTTTAAAAAATACTTTGAGTAACCCTTAAAGGCTAATGGGGTAACTTTACCTGTAACTATTTTGGGACTGCATGGGGTGGGGAGGGAGTTGCATGCATGACTTATATTGGCATGACATGGGCCATAACTTGGTCAATAGCTACATTTATCTGTCTGTAATGGAGATGAGGAAACACAGTTTTTACTTAGGGTGGCCATGCATCATCCAAGAATTATCTAATTATCTTGAAGGAGGGGAAAAACAGTTGGCAGTGGCTACCAAAGTTCTATCCTGAGTCTCTCTAAAGTTTTCTTCCATAAGAACTGTTCTTTCTTCCTAGCCTATGAATCTGACTCAGCATCAGTGTCTGGCAAGTGTGCAGTCTACTTAACAGGGCTGGCTGTAGCTCAGTCTAGCATTTTATGAACTCTAACACCCACTCCATATATGCACATTCAGTACCATTGTGTGTTTGTTTTTCTGGCCAGAGTTAGGAATTTTTGACAATATATGTTTCTATTAAAAAGTTGCAGCCATTGTTTCTGGTTATTCCATATGCCCATTGCTTAGGTCAAAAGCTTATCTAGCTGGGAAAGGGTACATACTTTTAACCCTACTACTCAGGAGGCAGAGGTGACCAGAGTTCCAAAGCCAGACTGGTTTACATAGCAAGTTAAGTTTTAGATCCTGTTGAAAAGAGAAAACAAAAAAGAAAGAAAAACTCATTGAAAAAAGAGTTAAGCTCAAAAAGTCTGGCCTCTTATTATCTCTGTTCTGTAAATTTAATGGTATTTGCCTTTAGATTCTAAATTACAGATTTTTGTATGAAGGTAACACTTTCTTTTTTTAAGATAGGGTCCCACTATGTAGTCTTTTCTATTCTTGAATTTGCTCTATAGACCAGGCTGGCCTTGAACACAGATCCTGACTATCTCTACCTCCTAGATAGAGGTATGTTCCACCTTGCCCTGCTTTGAGGTTACATTATTTATGTGATTTTTAAGGTTAAGCTAGCCTAACCTTAAAAAAAAATTCTGAGGGAGGGTGGATTCTCAGTACAGCATAAACAGTTGCCCGCCTGAGATCATGGCCTCATGGGCCTGCTAGCTGGCCAAGTGTGGCTATCAATGTAGCCTCACACAAACTTGTAAAGTTACTTAAACAGTGTGAGATATTTATTTGTTTGTTTGTTTTCTCTCTGTAGCCCTAGATGTCTGGCTGCTTTTGAAACTGCTCTGTAGACCAGGCTGGACTTGAACTCAAGAGATCCTCCAGTCTCCACCTCCCAAATGCTGGTATTAAAAGTGCGCACTACCACTTCTCCAGCTAAAATTTTTATTTAATTTAAATTCTTTATTTAAGATAGTATCTAAGGTATTCCTGCCTGGCCTTAACTTCTGACCCTTCTGATTGATCTTCCCAGATATTAGGATTATAATTCTGAACCTCATTTATGTGGTACTAGGGATTGAACCTAATGCTGGCAAGCACTCTACCAAATGAACTATATCTCTAAGTCCATGTTTGGTTTTGCCCGTCCCCCCCCCGGGTGTGTGTGTGTGTGTGTGTGTGTGTGTGTGTGTGTGTGTGTGTGTGTGTGTGTAGAACTGGAGTTCTAGGTGGCTGTGAGCCACCCAGTATGATGCTGGGGACTAAACCTGAGTCTTCTGCAAGACCAGCAAGTGCTCCTAACTGCTGATCAGTCCCTTGAACTTCATAAATGACAATATGCTGCATATAAAATGCTGGTCATACCAGGTGGAGAATGTCTCTCCTAAGATTCAGATACTGTTTCTTCTTTTACCTCATTGGGATTTAGAAACTTGAACAATATAGATAGACTATTTATTGTTTATACCTAAATCTCTGGTATCTACTATAGTACTCTGTGCATAGCAGGTACTGAGTAAATGTATTTGAGAGTTAAAACAAAAACAAACAAAATCCCATGCTACTACTAGGTGCTATACCCTAAGAAGCCATGTGTCTACTGGACAGCCTCTCTGGAACCACTATTGCTGCTGTTATTTTATTATTTCAGCACTGGGAATCAGACTCAGGACCTGGACACTTGAGTCTGGAGTTCTTGCCTGACTCCTGTTCTTTTCTTGTTACACTCTGTGTTTTAGGTGCTAAGACACAGAGTCCCTCTTGTTAGCAGTGCTGAATTTCTACCCATTTGTTGACTAGATAGTTTTCACTTGACCTCATGCTTTCTTTCTCTTAAAGATTTAATTTATTTTTGTTTTATGTGTATAGGTGTTTTGTATGTCTCATATCTGTGTACCACATGTGCCTGGTGCCTGGGACTGAAGTTACAAAAGGTTGTGAGTCACTTTGTGGGTGCTAGGAATCGACTCTGGGTCCTCTGGAAGAGCAGCCAGTGTTGTTAATCTCTAAGCCACCTCTCCAGCCCCACTGTTTATTTCTTAGTAAGAGGCATAAGGTCAGGGCCCTCTGCTGGCACCAGGCACACATGTGGTGCACAGACATGCAAGAGAGCAAAATACCCATATATATCCCTAAAA